AGTGTGTGTGTGTGGGGGGGGGGGCTGGGAGAACTCGGGTACTTTTCCCAGCTGTGTTAGTGGTACCTGGTGAACTTTCACTTTTCCCTCTCTGCCTCAGTTTCCCCACCTAAGCAAGGGAGGATGGGGGGGCTGGAACCCCCCAGAGGGGGAATGGCCCCATTCCCTGCTCCCCTGAGCCACCCAGTCCCTGCCCTGGGGCCGAATGGGAGCCGGCGCCCCCTAGAGGGGACAGGCAGCGTGCCCCATTCCCCACCCCCTGAGCCAGCCAGTCCCTGCCCTGGGGCCGGATGGGAGCCAGCACCCCCTAGAGGGGACAGGCCCCGCGCCCCATTCCCCACCACCCTGAGCCAGCCAGTCCCTGCCCTGTGTCTCCCCCAGACGTGCAGATCGATCACCTGGGGTTGCTGAAGCAGTTCGAGCACCTGGACCCCCAGAACCAGCACACCTTTGAGGCCCGCGACCTGGAGCTCCTCATACAGGCGGTGAGTGCGGGGGGGGGGTGGGAAGGTTTGGAAGGAACCAATTCTTCGGGGGGGGAATGGGGCAGACAGGGAGGAGGCAGCAAGGGGGTTTGTGGGGGGAGGTTCATCCCATCCTCGTCCCAGATACAGTGATGGGAACCCCCCCTTGTGCGGGGAAACCCCCTCCTGTTAACCCTTTCACCCCCTCGTGAGGGTTCCCTTAGGTCCATTCGCCCAGCATGGGGTGGGGGGTAGAGGGTGGGGGCTGGTGCGTCTGCCCCCGAGGAAGGGTGGAGAGAACGTGATGTGGTTGGGTCAGAGCAGGGGAGGCTGGGAGCCAGGACTCCTGGGTTCTCTCCCTGGCTCTGGGAGGGGAGTGAGGTCTAGTGGTTAGAGCTGGGGGTCAGGACTCCTGGGTTCCGTGCTGACGGCCGCCCCTCCTGCAGGCCACCAAGGACCTGGAGAACTACGACGCGGCCCATCACGAGGAGTTCAAACGATACGAGATGCTGAAGGAGCACGAACGGCGCGAATACCTCAAGTCCCTGGACGAGGAGAAACGGCGGGCGGAGGAGGCCCGGTTCCAGGAGTTGCGCCAGAAGCACAAGGAGCACCCCAAAATCAACGTCCCGGTAACGACCTTTCCCCCTCCGTGGGGGGCTGGGTTCCCCCCCAGCTGGGCAGGGGGAGGGGGCAGAGCAGGACATGGGAGTTACCTGGGGAACTGCTTGCTACAGGGTGTGTGTATGGGGGGACGGGACGCATTTGCCTGCAGGACCTGTTTGTGGAGGGTCACAGGTCAGTGTTAATATGTAGAACTCCCTGCTTGGAGGTTGGGGGGGTTACCCCAGAGATCCCACCGCTGTGGGGCATGGGAGGTTAGGGGGGTTGCCTGCCTCTGTCCAGCTATGAGCCACTAGAGGGCGCCATGGAGCCAACAGCCAGGCTTGCGCTGAATTCACCTGCGGAACTCCATGCTGCAGGGGGCGGAGGTGGTCTCCGGTCGTGGGCTTGGGCAAGGGGAGGGGATTAGCGCACCCCCCCCACCCCACCCCCCGCTCTGGGAAAATGTGGCGTAATTGCAGGGGGGCAGAACCTGAATGATGATTGGCAAGCGGGGGGCTTGGAGACAGGAGACCTGGGTTTTATCCCCTCCTCCCCTTGATTCTGCCCCCTACAGGGCAGCCGAGATCAGCTCAAGGAAGTCTGGGAGGAGACAGACGGGCTGGACCCCAGCGAGTTCAATCCCAAAACCTTCTTCAAACTGCACGGTGAGGGGCCTATCTCCCGCTCCCCCCGCCCCGTGATACTCCCCACCCTTGCCCCAGACAGTTCAGAGTCCTCTGCCCAGCTCCCCCCTCCAAACGGGGCCAGTGCCCCCTGCTGAGGTCACTCCAGCGGGAGTCAGGCACATCCCGTCCTCTGTTCAGGGGATTTAGGGGCTGGGGGAGGAGGGCAGGTTTGGTAACACACTAGATCCCTTGGGGTGGGATGGGGGGGCTGTAGGAGGGAGCCCCCCCAAGCCACCTCTCCCCCCCCCCCCCCAGCATTTTCACACAGACCCGACCATCCTACCCCATAGTGGGTGGAGAGAAATTGACAAACACACCCCCCCTTCCCCCCCCCCCGCAGCCCTTGGCCCCCCTGCGGGGCGGGTGGGGTTTGACACGGGGACGTCTGGCTCCTGGGAACTAGGAAACTTATCACCCGTCGGGGGCCACTGGGGGAGAGCGAGGTGGGACTGGCGCCCCTAGAGGGGAAAGGCCCCATTCCCTGCCCCCCGGAGCCAGCCAGTTCCCACCCTGGGGCCGATGGGAGCCGGCGCCCACTAGAGGGGACAGGCCCCATTCCCCGCCCCCCTGAGCCAGCCAGTCCCCGCCCTGGGGCCGGATGGGAGCCGGCGCCCCCTAGCGGGGAGATTCCCCTGCCCCAGCTGCGCTCACCCCCCCGTCTGTTGCAGACACGAACAGCGATGGGGTTCTCGACGAACAAGAGTTGGAAGCACTTTTCACCAAGGAGGTGAGCTCCCCTGGGTGTGTGGAGGGGCCAGATGGGGGGGTGAAGGCCTGTGCAGGAGGGTCCTGGACTCCAGGGTTCCCTATTATCCTTCCTCCTGAACCCCAAGGGAGTGGGGGAAGCCGCCCCATGGCTGTGCTGGGGTGGCGGGGGGGTGGGCAGGAGGGGTAGTCGGACAGCAGGGGGTGGCAAACAGAGGGGGAGTGTGTGTGTGTCGGGGGAGAGTTGGGAAGGGAGCTGGGATGGGGGGGTGAAGATGGGGGGGCTGGTGGCAGAGGACAGGGAGGTGCTGAAGGGCAGATCTTCTGTGGGTCTGTATATTTGCGGGGGAGGGGAGCTAAGCTGTGGGGATAGCAGTGGGACAGGGTTGAGGAATGGGGCGGGGCTGACCTATGGGGGCAGGCTGGGTGAGACAGACTATTGGAGGCAGCGGTGGGATGGGACCGGCGGGGCTGAGCGGTGGGGAGGATGGAATGGGCGGGGCCCTTGTGGGCAGCGATGGATGGGCGGGGCTGAGCCGTGTGGGTGGGCAGGGGCGGGGCTAAGCAGCTGGGGAGGCGTTGATCAGGTGTCTCCCCCCAGCTGGAGAAGGTCTACGACCCCCGGAACGAGGAGGACGACATGCTGGAGATGGAGGAGGAGCGGCTGCGTATGCGGGAGCACGTCATGAAGAACGTGAGTGACACACACTCCTGGTGGGGGGGGGGGGGGTGTCCTGGCCCTCAGTCTATTCTAGGGGGTCCTGGATTCCTGGCGCTGGCAGATCGGTGGGTCGCGGCATCTTCATTAGTGTTGGGTCCTGTGTGTCCATTTTCGGTGCAGCTCGGTCCCTGGAAATCCAGAAAGAGCCGTCTCCGGGTACCCGGCACGTTACCCGTCTCTGGGATGTTTCTCAATCAAGCTGTCGGTTCAGCGCGGGTCGTTTTCCAGCGAGCGATCCGTGTTGTCCGTAGTTCCCGGAACGCTTTCGTCCGTGGTCGGCTGCACTGTGTCCCGGGGGGTTCCTGGTTTTGGGGGGTCCCCGTTCCAGCCTGCGGCTCCAGTACCTGTTCTGGTCTCCCATGGGGCAGGGAGAAAAATCAACCCCGCCCCCATCCTTCCCCTCCCCCCCCAACACACACCCCACAGGGCCACAATCCCAGGGAGATGGGCACAGAGTTAGACAGAAAATTCCCATGTTGGGGCCCAGGATGGGGGACAAGAAGAGGGGTTGCTGGGGGGGTAGAGGGAGGGGTAGCAAGTGCTGGAGGGCCCAGACCCAATCTCACTCCTTTATCTCCATTCCCCAAGGTGGACTTGAACCAGGACCGGCTGGTGACGCTGGAGGAATTCCTGAAGTCCACCGAGAAGAAGGAGTTTAACGAGGCCGGAGGCTGGGAGGTGGGTGTCGGGGGGCGGCTGGGAGGTTGGGATTTGGGGGGCTGTGTCTCTTGGGGTTGTTGGGCTCTCTTGGGGAGGCTGGGTTGGGGAGTCTGTATTGCCTAACGAGGGTGGTGGTGGGGGATGGGGGCTGAGTGTGGGGAGGTGAGGGGTCATTCCCGGCTCTCACCTCCCTCCCACCCCAGACGGTGGACGAGACCCAGGTGTACTCGGAGGCGGAGCTGCAGCGGTTCGAGGCGGAGCTAGCGGCCCAGGAGGCGGAGCTTGGCCGGCGGGCGGAGCAACTGAAGCGCCAGCACCAGGACCTGCAGGAGCAGCAGGTCCGGCTGGACGCCCAGAAGAAGGAGTATCAGCAGGTGGGGGCGCTGCGGGGTCCCCCCCGAGAGAGCCCCCCTTTCCCCACCCCCTCCCTTGCTCCATCTACCAAGGGGTTGGGGAGGGAGAGCGGCTGTGGGTCCCTCCCTGCTCCTCCTCCTGTGGGCGGTCTGCCCCTTTCCTGCCTAAGGTGGGAAGTGACACTGCAGGGGGCAGGCCTGTGCCCCTTGAAGTTGGGGGATGGGGGCTGCCCCCCTTCCATGTGTCTGGCCCCCCCCAGGGAGTCGGGAATTTTGGGGTGGGGGATCAGCTGCCCCCCTCTCCCCCGCCCCACTGCTGGCACGGGGGGGGGGGATCGGCACGTGGGGGGGAATCTAGTCGCAGTAGCAGAGTTGTTTCTTTCCCCTGCCCCCCCCATGTATCTGTCC